AGAAGCCGATGCTAAGAGGAAATTTCCTGGAGCGCTGTGAAAGTTCATACTGCACTGTATACCTGAGGAACAAGTCAGTGCAACTGTTTCTCAAGAGAACCCCAGGTCTTCAGAATCAGCCTCCTGTAATTACACCTGACACCCACTAAAACTCTTCTACTGATTTTAATAAGAGGGAAGAACTCAGTGTCTAGGCAGTATTGCCCACATGGGCTGCTCAGTAGCATGACGCATCACCTTGTGTAGTCAAACATGACTGTCTACAGTAGGTGGCTGTACTAGCGACTTAGGTTCGGGCTAGAATGTGCCTCTAAAATTTAACTCTTTGATTTAGCACAAGATGCACTATGTCCTATGTAAAATGTAAATTATTTTGGCTTTTGTTTTAACAAATACTGCAAAATCATTTTGAAATGCTATTTACAACAACTTTTTAAATTCTTGCTTTTATTTATCTGCTGTCCTTTCCAAATCACTTCCATGGAACCAAATTGGCATGTAAGGAAATGAAACAAATTGGGACAAGGAGCATTTTGCACACCAGTTAAACACCTCTAAGTACAAACTAGCAAAGATCAAATCAGAGAGAGGCTTGAGCTCTCCGCTTCTCTAACCATACTCCAACAATAGTTCAGATTTTCCTGCTTAGCTCTGTTTAGATTTGGCAGCAGCGGCTGAGTTAGTTGAAATAAGTGTTTTCTTTCTGATCAATACTGCATCTGCAGTGCAAAGCTATGAGAGTGTTACCTAATGAAACTTTCTCCGGGAACACACAGGAGGAAACTGCCCCTGAAGATGTATGACAGTGGTTACAACCTAATACAATTATGTTAGCAAAAGTATCACCCTGAAGTGCCTGACTGTGTCCTTTCATTACGAGGAAAAACCTGACAATAACTCATACATTAATAAATAAATATATTTTAAAAACTTAATTCTCAAAGGAAAGCTATGCAGGGACTGAAGCAAGTAGTGTGTGCATATATTCAAAAGCTGTATACTGTTTTTAAATTACCTGCTTATAGTAAACAGATTTTCATTTTTTAAAAGGTACCTTCTAAATAAAGACTGTATTCAAACACGGTTTAAAAGATGAGTTATGAAACACTTTACTGACTGAGCCTTTAACACACCATTATTGAAAAGATAACCTGCAACTATTTTCATGTCAGATGTTTATTTGATGGGCACTGTGGTCACACCTCAGATCAGGTGATGTAAGAAAGAATGTATTTATACACGCAGTACTTTGCAAAAGTCCTAGGATGTGGTATTCAAGCTGTTCTAAAGAAACATGAAGAATCTGAAGAGGTCAAGGACAAAGACAGAAGTGGAAGACTAAGTAACTGTCAAAATCTGATGAGAAATTTCTCAGTTACTTCTTTGAGAGACCAGAGAAACTCCAGCAAGGACCTGGCTCAGCATCTGACAGCTTCATCTGGATGCCAGGTTGATCCAGTCCAAAGACACTTGATCAGGAACAGCCTTTGTGGAAGGACAGCAACCAAGAAACCAATTTTTCAGAAGGGGGACAGGGAGAAAAGGCTGAGATACGCAAAAGCTTGCAAAGACTGGAGTGAAGATTAGTGGAAAAGAGCCTCATTGAGTGATGAATGGAGGTTTGAAATACTTGATCCCAGTCGTCAACAGTATGTGTGAAGAAGAGTTGGGGAGAGGTGGTAGCAGCCTTCAGTGAAACATGGTGGAGGGTCTGTCATAGTGTCAAGACAGTTTCCTAGAGGAATTCAAGCTGTGCTAAGTGCAAGGGGGGGCACAATTAAATGCTTACTTTGGACTGTAAAAGCCTATTATTATTATGGGTGTTTCCCTCTATAATAATAAAAGTACGGTCTAGACCTTACTTTGTAATGTGTCCTGAGATAACCTTCGTTGTGATTTGGTGCTATACAAATCAAATTAATTTGAATTAAATTGTGTTTTGCAAAACTGTGTACATGTTTCATGTACAACCTTGCTAAAATAGCAAAACTACTGGTGGCGTAAGCCTTTTGCACAGTACTGTTTTATAACCCTGCTTTATTTAGGGCTTTTACTTTGGGAATATCAAGACTGGTGATACTTCCCTATAAAAGGTAGGCAGAAGCATGACTTTGATAAAGATCATGCAATATGTTAGTGGGGGGCTCAAATACCATTTTAAAAAAAGGTACACTGGCAAACTCCAGGTAGCTGTCACTAAGATAGCCAAGACAGTCACGGCTAAAGTTTATCCCCGAGGACGCTCAGTGTGTCATAATTGTTTTTTTTTTTTTTTTTTTTTTTTTTTTTAATTTCAAATTTTTGTGTGTATACGTAGCTACCTTGATAATTTAGTTTTAGTCCACATGATACAACTGCTCCAGTGATCACTGGCACTCCCTACTTTGTAACTAAGGCTTTAGCAAAATGTGAAGATTAATCAGCAAGCATCCTCATGCACACAACAGAGGCAGAGGAAATGACTGGTTTCATATCATGTGTTTTTTTCTTCTGTCTGTGGTTTTTAAAAAAGCCACTGGTTCATAATAATGACCAGTATTTAGGGAAGAGAAAAAAAAAAAAGAGCAATGAGCAATGTTACGTGGCTGCCACCTTCAATAACCATTTGATGCTTTGACAATGAATTAAACCAGCTGCAGGGTAAACCATATGTCAGCATTACATTGTTACATGTGGAGGCCTTAGTGCATGAGGAGTTATATAATGGGACCCAAGATAATTCAACTCTGTAGCAACAACCTGAATAACAGTGCTGCCATATCAATGGTTTTAATACTCAAAACAGACCAAGTTGTTTCTCTTCTAAGAACCTAGCAGCATTTTTAACCTTTTGTAAGCTGATAAATGTATTTTATTTTCCAGCTGTAGAGACAAAAGGTGTATTCCACCAAATACATGCTGCACACTTATTTAATGTGTGCACATACTGAAGATATTTTAATACATTGTCTACATAGCAGATGTCCCATTCTACTGTGGCATCAAGCTGCATGTGTACATTCAGTATGTCATTGTTTTTACATAACAGCACTGTCTGTCAGGCCTCTAAGCAAATGTGTTTATGTACAATTAACATTGAAGTGTTTGTACAGACTAACAGTGAATCATGTACAGACTGCTTACCGGCATGCTGTGAAGAAAACCATGAGACTTGTCTCAGCTTTTGCAACAGATATCATAGTGGCAGACGTAAAAAAAAAAAAAAAAGAGGTGTGACGTAGCACCTCCGGAAGGAAGTGACATCTCTGTCAGGCAAAGATCAATTATGATTTCTGCTATGACTGCAAACTCAACACAGCATCCTTTATTCAGTGGATTAGGTCTTCCAAAAATGTATAGTGTGATTAAACCAAAGCAGTGGCATTAAGTAAAGTCTACTAGCAGGACAGTCAGAACAGAACACCACTGTTAAGAGGAGTTCAGTGTCAAAAGCAGTTTTTTTTCCAATTTCAAAGGTAAAATGAATGCACAATTGCATTTACTCCTCAGCTAATGTAATTTTACTTTTAGAGACCAGAAATGCTTCACAAAACCTTCCAGGTTTACTTCCGGATGCAACCAGTGCACGCTGTGGCATGTTTTTCAAAATGCACATGAAAGGGAAATTTTCACTTGAGAGATTTTGAATCTTTACGCACAAATTCATGAACCCTCAGTTTAGATTCAGACCTCTTCTATAATCCTCGTCAACCTTCATGCACTGCACCAGATGGTAATTACTGATATGAAACCTGCTGTACAGAGCAGAGTATGTAATTATCAACCAGCCATGTCTTCAAAGACCCAGGACAAAAAAAAAAAAAAAACACAGTATGTGTTTCCTATCACTTGAAACACATTTTTTTTGTTTTCTGTCAAAGACGTGAATGACATATCAGTTCAGTTATTCTGGGATCACCAAACTCTTACAAAATGTATGGTCTTCACTAAGTGCTAAATTCACTAAATTACACCAAATTAACTCCGGTTTACACATGGTATAAATAGGGTGTTAATTTTCTGGCATGTCGTAATTTACCGTACTTACATCAACACACCTTGCCAATAAAGCTGATTCTGATAAGAAAATGTTAGTATAGAAAACTGCATTGATTCCCTTGGGACAAAAACGGGAGTAACTTATGGAGAGTAAATCAGTGAGCGTGAGGCAAAACTTATCACCATTACAGCAATGTCCTTATATCAACTTTTAATTCACACAAATTAGTGGTTACGCTGCCAAAGAGAATTTCCTGCTTTCTCTCTGCATTTGTGAGTTGCATAACAAGAAGCTTTAAAAGCTTTAAAGATCCTTGTTTCATATAAAAGCAGGTAGCATAATAAGAATGTGGGAAGCAAACTCAAGAGCCAGCATGTTCAACTACTCAGATAGTTAAACAGAACCAGGGAGATGTTTCAAAGCCTGGGAAAGCATCATTCTACCAAGCAATGTTTTCAACTGGTTGTTCTGTGTTATGCATTTGTGTGCGTGAACAGTCAGGGCTGTTCACCCTCTATCCAAACAGCAGCCCACTCATTATAAAGTAGACCCTGCCCCTCAGTCCAGTCCTGCTGTGACCAAACCGCTGTCCAAAAAAAAACATCAAAAATAAGCACGTGATCCAGGGTGATGTTTTAACTCCAAACTTACCCAAACATTCTCAGTACAACTCATATGTTTATGTCAAAACAGACCCTAGAATGAAGGCAAAGTACACAAGGACATGCAGTGGCAGGCCAAGTTCACAGGACTGGCATTACCACTGCATGTTTGTCTCTTCAGGAGGTGGGGGAAGGAAACACTCGGCCCAAACACATCAGAGAGAAACACTTCATGAATGAGTACGATGGCCATATGATTGAGGGAACAAGATAAGTTATAAAAAATAGCATTAGTTAAAGAATTGAATAAAAAAAATGCGTCGTATTAGTACAAACGACTAAGTGCTGTCGCATAACTCGATTGAGACATTAATGTGGCCCTTCAGCAACCAGTGTCAGTGTTGTGACAGACAACTCACCCAGAAGCAGCAGTTTCACTTCTCTCGCCGCCTTCTCGCCATCTTCTCTCAGGTTTTTATCAATCATTTTTGACCTCTCGGCCGCGGCTTTATCTTCCTGGCTAACTGTACAGCCCATGGTTCCTAGTGCACGCTTCAGGTCTGCTGTTTAGTGGGAAAATATCACCTGGGAAAAATAACGGTTAAGTCCGAAACCCCCTTATTTAAGAGCAAGGGTTGAAGTTGAGTAAGGCGACTTCCCCTTTTGAAAAGTGGCGACAAACGTGACGACGTCCGTTCATCCGCGAGACCAAACAAGAATCATAAAAAATAACGATTTCCTTCTGCGACGTGAAATCGGTTTTTTCTTATGCAGCTAAATTCCCAAACACTCGTTGGTTTTCCAATCAGTTAGACAGCATTGGCGGTTTCTTGTGAGCGCAGAGAAGTTGATTAGTGACGGGGGGAAAAACCTGAGCAACTTTTTCAGGACGGTTGACTTTTAGCTAATTCGGTAGTTCCTACAACAAACCATCAGAGTAGGTTAATCACACAAAAACGGGCCACGAAGTTCAGCCAAAAAAGTATTCCAGCTGTTGAAAACCGAACACACTGATTCCTGGTGCCAGTTAGGCTATCGGATACGCACGCGCCACTTTTTAGACGATAATTGTCCTTGCTGTCATATATCGTTGTTGTTTTAAAGCCTGCTGCCCTTAGGCATTCTTTACCCCACGTTGAGATTTATCTCATTTGAAGCCACACCCGTAGCCGCCGTAAAGTTCCCCACTCGCCCGACGAACAGGGAGACAGCGCCGTCACCTCCCACCAGCCAGGGCCGACCGTCACAGTATAGAACGCCCACTTCGAGTGCTTCATGGGAAATGTAGTCAACGAGCTGCACAGTTCCTCCAAAATCTTTCAAAAACATTAGGGTTAAGCACTGCAGTTCATAAGATCTACTCAAGATCTACCTAAGATCCAAGTGGCAAAATCGGGTATTCATGGTGTTCTTTTTTTATTTGTTTAATACACCAGGTATTCGTGACTATTAATAGCGCCAATTACCACTAAATACTGTACATTCTGAAATGACAAAACACAAATAGGGTGGGTGAAGATTGTACCATCATGTATCTGATATGTTTTTTATTGTTAAAAAGTTAAATTAGGCCTAATTGTTTGAAACTCTTTAAAATGACTTCTAGGCCTCCAACACTAAACTCCAGAATCTACAGTATAAATATGCATTTAAAACCAGCATAAGTACTAAATTAGGTGTAAAAGTTTTAGCCTCATGATTTTCTATTAAGCCACATAAAAACTACAACTTTGCTATGGTGTTTGTGGTCAATGTATTTTAAATATTGGTAATCCAAACTGGTTTAAGCAAATAACTGATGATACTCACAACCACAGCAGCAGTTAAAGAGAAGGACTTAAATGCTATGGCAGCATGAAGTAAAAACTTCACTTCAAATAGACACTTAACAAAACCCTGATATTATGTTATAGTACATTACACATACATAGCGCTGTAGTTAATTCCTACCACAGCTCTATAGTGTCACCTTGTGGACTCCTGTTCCTTCAAGAGATTAATGAACTGTTTGTGAACTCTCTTCACTGTTTACACTATTTTTGTACCAGTCTTATAAAGATTTAAATTATGTATATTTTTCATCCAAGGGGACAAACTATTTCATTTAAGTGAAGTAAAATTATATGCATCTGTAAAGCATAAAATTTATCCTTCTTGACAAATATTTGCCTTAAATTTCAGGTTGTGCTGCAGCTGCTTACCCCCATTCGATCAAAACAGACTGGATGTTCAAGGTCACTGAATTTTAGCATTTTAATGAAAATAGATGCCAAAAGTATTTTACACAGGAATAAAAAATATAGGGCAACTACTGCTAAGTCTTACATTTCCAAGACTATCATATAAACATCTTAGAAATCTGTGTCCTTATTGTCATATAGCAGATGAAGGTTATGTTACCTCATTATCTTTATTGCAACATTGTTTACAGTACAGTAACTGCCAGCGACATATTAAAATATATATAGAGATACAAGAAAATAAAAATGAATTGAAGGACAAAAAGTTTTAAAGCACATTGAAAATGATTACATTTATATTTTTAATTGGACTAGAACTTTGATTGCTATTTACATTATACAAACTAGATATGCATATAGAATATAAAGGGTATACATTTATATACATTATTTATAACTGCTGGCCAATGTCAATATTTAATATGTTACTATTCAATCATACATGTTTCAATAATTCACACAAAAAGGGAGAATAACACCACGGAGATCTAAATAGAGGTTCTCAGGGAACATCTTGTATCAGCCACCAGCATAGTGTATCCCTTCAATGTGTTGCTTTGTGTTTTTGTTTTGCATATTGTGAGGTTTTGAAGCATTTTGTGTGTGCAGCATTGAAAAACAGTTCATGATACTCATTTATTTACCAATGGCTTTATCATACATACAGTATAGCCAAATTACACCCCAGTGGCTGACAGAGATGATTCCCTCTGCATACATAAAGACAACCAAATGCCTAGATTTAATCAAATAAAAATTGGTTAAAAGAGGTTTGCTGTGTAGCAAAATCACAGAACAATAGTCAGTTAGCCATACCCCACTCACTGTGGTCTGGTGCAATAATTTCATCATTACAAAAGTAATAAAATGTAGACAAGTACACCAGCTCACTAACAACTCCAAGTTAGTATGTCGCTGTTTACCAGCAAGCAGCAAGGAAGTCAGAAATTACCCAAACTTTACCACTGACAACAAAAGACAAACATAAGAAAACACTACAATGATTAACTGTGTTTTGTATCTTGCATTTCATCACTGAATCAGATTCAACTGATATACTCAAAACACCATTAAATATGACGTTTAAAACTGTTAATGTAGGCTATCAAGTAGGAGACAAATACTTGAATTATAGAGTATAGGTCCAGGTTTAACAACACAAATGCATATAGGTAGTGTAGTTCAAATACAGTGGAGCCATGTTTTCTTTTTTACACAACACACAGACACCATAAAAACCTCCAATAGTACATCCAACTAATTTGTTGTTTTATCTACAAAACGGACAACAAGAGGAAGCTAATGATTGCAGGGGCTCACAGGAAGGCTAAGCTTAACATTATTTCAAGTAATGTTTGAGAAGACATCTGTATTATACCATTGATACACTGTAAATTTTCTTGCAATCAACATTAGATTGATTAAGTTAGTCATAAAAAGCAATCTAGCAAATGTGAGCACTTCTAACAAATGATTAGCTTGTGTTTCAACTTATTAAAGGCTACAAGAAGTTGTGCTATCAGCATAAGTGCTATTGCTAACCACCAATTTTTCAAGACTGTGAAAGAGACAGTAATCCCATGTCTGTCGTTTCCATTAGGGATCAAGCTTGTGCTGGATACAGAAGTATTTACACCAAACAATTACAAACCACTTCATGAAGTGACCCTGTTGCTGTTTGATTCATCTTTTGGTTATCTCTGATTATATCCAGTGTCCAGAATCAACTCATCAAATCTTCCAGGTAAAAAGCATCCCTACTCGATGATGATGAACACTGAGTGGTAACTTTCTTCTCTTCATTTCATTTATCACTTTGATCTGTACAATCCATATGATAATGTCTTCAGTACCATTTATCACTATCATGTACACAGTAACACTGAAAAAGAAAATCTCTTTGCACAATATAGGTATTCTTTTATATAATGATCTGAACAGACAAGAACCTTTTAGAAGTGCTCCTGACCTGAAACCTGTCTCTCTGATATCAACCACCTCAGTTAGAATTAGCTGAGGATCATCTCATCAGTCCATACATCGTCTGAGGTTTTCATCATTATTAATAAAAAATATACATCTTGATCATACTGTGTAGGAATGTTAAGATAAATGTGCTCAACACCACATATGTTGTGGCTTTACACCCTGCTCTGGCAGAGGTGACAGTTTTAACACCTCCAAACCTTAAAATAAAGAACAGAAGCACTTGTTAATTGGAGCTAAAGGCTGCATATCTTAAAAGGAACGTTTCAACATTTTTCAGTCTTTATGCTAAACTAAACTAACCAGCTGCTGTGAGAATGGTGTCACTTAACTCTCAACAAGAAAGCTAGTAAGTGCATTTCACAAAATACTGAACTATTCCTTTAACACATCTTTCTATCTGTGCAATCACTTTTGCTATTACTTTCTTCTTCAGGTGCACAGAATTACAAAGATATAGTTTTTCAAATAACTTAGAACAATAATGATTATAATAGTCATAAAAATCATAAAATAATTATCTATCATTCAATGAATTTCACTCAAGACAGTTAAAAGAGAGGTCACTCAGACTGTGGATTATAATCTGAGAAGCAGTTTGCAGATCATTTTAGGAAAGACATGGATAGCAAGGGGTGGCAAAATGTCACAGCCATTACAGGGAAAGGGGCATAAAGGCCGTGGCATCCTACACTGCTACAGTGTTACATTTAGTTTTTTATATCCACATTACAAGGCACAGCCTCCAGTTGTCAGCTTTAATCTTAATGCGCCTGACCTTTCAGTGACTTCACTATCAACTTTAAAAGAAAGTCTACTGGCCTGGATTTGCAGTCACTGTATGGCAGGATCTACAGTGCAATGTAACGTCATTAGAGTGAGTGCATTTCCGGAGGGACAGAGAGCTATCCTGAAATCTAATCCCCTCTACTGTGGCTAATATACCGAAAAGATAGGGCATCATACATCAAACATGGTCCAAAATAAAAACTGTAACATTACAACACAAATCTAAATCAACAATATAAAACCTGAAAAAAAAGGAAGGCAGTGCCTAGTGACCATTGCTGGTTTTGCTGGTGGCTGATGTCCAATCAATGATGATAAAGCTGAGACTCATTATCATAAACAGGAAGCCTATCCCAGCAAAACAGGCGGCCTGAAAGAGAGCATGTGATGAGAGTGACAGAGAACATTAACTGTGTGCATTTTTAAACACTGTCATGACATTTACAGTGCAATATCCACAGTAAATCATTAAATATATGAGTGAGTATAACTGTTACTTTACATATGCAGGTAAAAAGCCCACACATTGCTGAACCTCTGATGCTAATAATGATATCAATTTGAGAATTTTATAAAAGCCAATAATAACATATGAAATTATATTCATTTTTTTACAGGGTCCTTTATATGATAACTTATTTGTTTTTGCTGTTGATAACCTTTTATTTAACTTAACTTCTCACCATGCTGGTGCATGACATGTGAATCGTACCCAACCAGCAGCTGGTTATGGTCGAGGGGAAACCAGAGAGGGCAGCAAAATACAGTTTTTCAGTCTGGGGCTCTATTTTCCTGCAAGAAGGTGCTGTGCTAAACTCACGTCTAAACTCCAGGGGGTACACATTATTAGAAGGAGGAATAAATCATGAGCAGGTGGAGTCGGGGCTGGCTTTAGTAATGTCCAGTCAAACCAGCTCCTCTCATCTCCTTTAAAGAGCAGGGCAGAAACCTGACTGACTGATGTCACTGATGTCACAACCTGGAAAGATAGGGTGTTTGTTATTTGTCTCAGCTCATGAGCTGCTGTCATGTGTTATTATGTGTAATTTTTTTACATGAATTTGGATTCCCAAACACCAGCTGTAGATCACCTCTGGCTGCATCCTGTAAGGCTAGAGATGGTGCGTCCTTACCGCGCTAACACTGTTACTATATTCATATCTATAGCCACATACTGAGAGCTAGTTTACCCTATTTAAAAATAATCTTCGTGATATAAAATACAATGTGCAGAGTGAATTCCTGCAGATCACTTGTGGATTGAAGGGTTCATTTTAAGTCGGTGTATCCCATGTGTGTAACTGATCTGGTGCTTCCCAGCCTAGGTGCTCATCAGGAAAATTGCAAATACACCTGCAACCGCAATAAGAGGTGGTCTGAGCAGGTGTTACGTTATCACTATGTTGGGTCAAAGTGAGCACCAACATTACACTGTGAATGCAGCAAAGCAGAAATTGCACTGGCAGGAAAATAGAGCCCATGGTGTCACTGTGTCTAAATTAGTTTTAGATTTTAAACACCTTTAACCCCCTCAGACAACTCAAAGTAGCTGTCACTGAAAAAAACAATACTGTTAAAAAAAGCTATATACCACTCAATTGTCAATCCATTTTCTGTTTATCATATGTTCCATTTGTAAATTTATTCCTTGTCTGTTTTAGTGATTTTCAACCCACAGAGCATCTGCTGTATATTAATGGCACATTTTAGTCCCATCATCTTAAATTAGCTTTGTGTAACCTTACCTAAGCTAAAATAAACATAACTAAACTGAACTTAGTTTTTTTTTATATTCTCATGTGATGCTCACCAGGATTTTGGGCACAGAGCGCAGCGGCTCCTCTTCTTTGGGTACAATACGAATGTAGAACACAGCAGGGAAGATGAAGATGAGACAAGGGGCAGATGTGGCACCTAGGAAGAAGACAAAGCACACAGAATTATTCATGAAACTAAATCTCCATGAATTCTCACTCCCTTCAGGTCTCATTAAGTGCTGCTGCTAGTCTGACAGTACTGCACAAAGGAAGGTTGTGGAAATAAGTAAAGAAAAAAGGGGGTGAAAGAATTTGTTTATATTTATTTTATTCCACTAGCAGAAATGAATACTGATGATATGAGGCTTTTGAATGTAATGTTCTACATGGGAATAAGCCTGTTGAACGCTATCTGTAAAAGTAGTGCTCATTACCCACCACCAAAGTCCAGGGACAGTGAAATAAATCTCTTTCCAAATCTTTAATTGCTGCTCTCAATATCCTAATTAAACTGTGTGTTAGAATAAGTTACCTCTAGAACTGCAAGACTGATGGTGGCTCCAGTCTGCCATACATTTTTGTAGCTATAGATTAATTTTACCATTTGTCGCCTCATAGCTCAAACTGTTTACAGTGTAATTCTTCTTGCCTGTTTACTAACAACTTCAAATTTCCAACTGCCAGTGAACACTCATGTAAAAGGAATTTTACATATATTATATGCAGTGTGTAAGCATGTTGCTATATTTAGAGATCGCTTGTCTTTAAATATAGGGGGATGACTTTGTTCACATCACAAATGCTGAAGTATTCTACACTCTGGGGTGAGAAATGTAAAGCCTCAATACTGTAAAAACTGAGACTGACTTCAAGATAAGGGCTCATTTTAAGAACTGTTGTGTTTGTGTAAAATAATTAGGAGAATTAACCTAGACTTCAACAACATGAAAGCTATCTAGGATTCGTCAGGGAGGCCTCATCTACAGTACTAAGAGTCTAAATGATGTTGGTTTATGCATCAAATCCACCCTTGTCACAGAGCGATCTAACCTACCAATGATACCAAAGATGCCCAGGATGTTGGGGGCGAAGATGACAAGCAGGTTGATGAAAATGAGCAGAATCAAGGCAATGATGATGTGGCGAGGCCAGTAGAAGGTCTTGTTGGGAAACGCCATCTGCTGAATTGCCCTCCTTACCTTATAGTTTAAAAAAAGGCAATGTTCAATGGATTCACTATTTTAACAATGTAAAGTTACTACATGAAGAAGATAACATCATAATTTGCCAGAGGTATGGGTGCAAAAAACACACTTACAGGAAAGAGCACGATGGGTACAGTGAGCGTGACGGCAGTGAGCACAGCTACACGCACACACAAGATCAAAGTGTCATATGGGTCAATACGGCTGTAGGTGTGAAGCAGCTCTGCTTCCACTTCACCTGGAAAAAATAGAAGGAGGAAAACACAACAGATCTCAGGATGAAGAACCCAGTAAAACATCACTTGTACAAAAAAAATTACATAGAATATAAACAGAGATTGCATATAAAAATATATTTTAATATGTTATCTGTATGACAAAATTATATTTGATTAGTATTTCCAAATGTAGGTAAAACTGACTTATGCATTTAATAATATCTTTATAAATTGTGATGCATTTTTAGTGCAGCAGATTACAGTAAGCAGTGCAAGTAGTTAATTTACTTACTGTAATACCTACAGTATGACCACTAGAGGGGGTAAATGCATCATGATGCTTTATTCAGACTTTATATTATGCCAATATGAAAACAACAATAATTAACTGATTGAAAACATGGATTAAAAATTAAGAAGCAAAATGAGGCACTGTAACAAAAGTCCTAACAGAACGACAATTCCAGATAAAGAAAGTGAGAGGCATATTCTACATTATGAGAGGAAGACCAGGCCTCACCATAGAAAGTTAGGTATCCAAAAAGAGCAGCCAGGAAGTACATGCAGTACATGACTGCAATGGAGATGTTGGCCACATGCTGCATCTTTTTCTTGGTGGCACTGAAATCAGAAAATATTGCCACACACAGCAAACACACAAATACACATACACACAACATCAGGGCATCCACTAGCAAAATACTGTTTTATGTCCATTCAGAAAGCATGTAACCCGGTTACTATATTGTAGCGTTAGGGGGAAGAGAGACAGTTGGCAGGATCCCCCATAATACCCTTCTGGGCGGGCAAAATGTAGTTCGGGGTTGGCAAGAATTGTGTTCAGTCTGTGTACTGTGTTCTGTGTTCAGTGCGTTTGCCATCATTTGTGTGTTTTTATGATAAAAGCGGTTCCAGGGAGCGCACAAAAAGGCAACTTCTGTCACCAGCTTCTTCTTCCATTCAGACTACGTTACAATATAATACCATGTTCAGATGCAGGGCTACACAAAGATTTCAACAACGCATCCAATTTAATCTCAGGGAAACAAGCAACAGTGGTTCAAGACAAGATGATAAATTTAAACTAACAACATGGTACATCATACAAGCAGCGCCAACTCAAAATCAAGTGAAAGCAGTGCATGTGACTAACTTATGATGAGCCAAGCAGACAGCAGACAGACTAGCTTTCCACACTGTTATGCAACTGATTTCTTGTCCAAAACTTGGCAGGAGATTTTCATTGTGAGAACATACTTGCGCAGCTCTGTGTAGATGGGCAGGACCTCAGGGTGGCACACAAAGGCGAACGCCAGGATGGGTATGGTGTAGGCCGTCTGAAAATGAACCCCAACAGGTCACCATAGATACAGCAGCACCATCCCAGACGTCTTACCACCAACCTCGCTCTTTGCTGCCCATTACTCCGTCAGACACATCACAGAGAGCTAATTGTTTCCTTGTGATTAACTTGAAGTTGGCCACAAACCAGCTTTTGCCTATTTAAGTATGCCTAAGCTGCTAAGCAGCAGGGACTGGCCTTACTAGCCTGGTTTAGCAAAGTCTCACATCTTTAAGAAATGTTAACGGAGACTCGATAGGATTTTATAAAACTCAAAAACAGTTAGTCAGTATTTGCTAATTCCTGAAAAAGTAAAATTGTTTCAGTAAGTGCTATACTGGTACAATCAAACTAATTTAAGCCAGGAGCTATGATTAAGAGTGTTTCAAGAGTCCTGTCCTGTTGTGAAGGCATGTACTCTAGGTAAAAAATGAAGGTACTTTGAGAAATGTCAGGCCTTTTCCCATTTCACTCATTACCCATCTCTTCGACCCACAAAGGGCAGACTTTGATGATCTCACTGTAAGCAAGAAAATGCCAATGCAAATTTTACTTTTCTGCGACAGCTTAGAGGTCACTATCCACCGTTGAGCCTTGCATTAATCACAGACTATTTTCTGTCATTAACAGCTTGATAAAAGCCGTGTTCTCCTCTTGATGGCAAGTGAGTGCATCAAACCAAATGTAATCTCCATGCTTGGACTGTGAAACTGTCACTGGCAACATGCTGAAGATGACTATGGCACAAGTGGGGAGCTGTCAGTGGCCATGGTGGTGGAGGTGGTTTTGCAGTTTCAGACTGAATGACATGCATGCACATACCTGTGAGTTGAGGTTGGCCATTTTGGGAATACAGGCAGGGTCTTGATGTGAAACAGTGACATTTGGCCCACCGGCAGTGCTATTGCTATAGTCCACAAATGGACACGAGACGTTGAACTTCTTGTAGATGACCTATACAGTGCAGAGGAGAGAGGCACTGAGCAGAAAGAAATGCTGTGGGACAAAATTAGATCAGATCAGTTTCAACTTTGTTGTCATTGTGGAGAGCACTTGTACAAAACCAGGGATCTGCAGTTAACATCTAACCAGATGTGCAAAAATTAGCACATTTACAAATAAATATTAATGCAGTATAAATGACATATGTACATATAAACAATGACAGAGCAATGGTGGAAAATGTATAGTATACAATGTATGAACATACTGTAGAGCAGTATACATGTATGTACATGTACACCATCGGTCAAAAGTCTCGACACACCTTCTCATTCAATTAACTGGGAAAGTGTGTTGAAACCTTTGACTGGAAGTGTATATAAAAGTACAGAATGTACAAAAATAAAGATGAATATACACAAGTCCAAGTTGTCTTCATGTGAATCAGGCTTATGTGCAGTGTTGCCGTTAGCCCATTGTTCACGGTTCAATATGGACACAGCCACAGGGAAAAATTAGCATAAAGAGAGGCAGAAAATATGACACAGAGAGAGCCAGAGAAAGAGAGGCATCAATGTGTGGATTACAGCTCACACAGCCAAAACTAGGTCAGAGATAGAGAACCAGCACAGCCTGGAACAGCAGCATGCAAACATTAGTCTATGGTGATGAGTAAAGAGAGCGGGGAATACTAAAGAAGTGGTGGGGCAGGGTAAAAAAAGAAACATCTTGTTACAGGCAGATCCCAGCACATCTGAATGTGCCTACCTTGAGGTCTCTGCCAACAGGACAGGAGCAAGAAGCAAGACATGATGTGTAGCTGGCATGTTTGTGTACTAAGAGTCAGAGAACTTACCGAAATGAGGAAGAAAACCATGCAGCTCAGGGAGAAGCCACTGGTGTATCCCAGATATCCTAAAACACATCTGCTTCATTAGCATTTCTTCTACATGCTCATGCTTCATCTGAAATATATTACACTGAGGCTAACGTGTGGAAAAGGCTAATTTGAGATATGTAAACAGTCCAGACAATAAGTATGTGGAGCTACTCTTTTTCTTTTATTCAGACATTGTACTTCACCACATGCAGTTTGAAATAATAATTTTTAAAAAATCAGCCGTTGGATACACTCTAAAAAAAAAAGCAGGTGGATACACAAAACTGTAACATGGCAAATGATACACTCACCGAGCTGTTTCATGAGAGCTAGGGGTAAAATTACTGCAACTGATACAATGATCACAAGGTAGTTTCCGTTCAGGTACCATTCGCTGTGGAGAAGCAGAAAAACACAAACATGGTTAAATGTATTGATTTTGGAATATTTAAATTTATCATCTTGTCTTGAACCACTGTTGCTTATTCAACAGTCCTTCTGTTAAGCATTTTCACTGTGTCAGACACTGATCAAGGAGACACAGGAGAAAAGTGTATGGAAGTAGAAAAGGGCTTGCGTGGTGGAAAAAGCTGCGGTAGCTTGCTGGTTGAGGATTATTTTATATTTCCAGAACGATGCCAAGAACACACAGTTGTATTCAGCTAAACATAAATGAACACAAACCAAACTCAGTGGTTACCAAGAATACAAATATTTAGAGTGGAAAAACTAAGCCTCTTTGCTCCCTGCACTGCAGGACACAGAAAATGATTGCTGGAATTAAGGCCACATTATAATCTTGGCAATGAGGAGAAGGTTTTGAAATAGCCCCTAGCAGTTAAGTCTTTGCAATCAAAGATAATAAAACACAACATGGTTAAATGAAAAAAAAAAATCAAATGCAATTATCACTAAACCAGCTTTTTATCATCTAAAACAAATTGCAAGACTTAGAGGTCTCATGTCTGGACAGGATGTAGAGAAACTAATTTATGCCTTTGTGTCCAGCAGGCTGGACAGTTGTAACAGCTTTTTGTCTGGTCTTCTCAAAAAGACTGTTCAAATTCTGCTTGTTCAGATCGCTGCTGCCAGAGTTTTAACAAGAACCAGGAGAAATGACCACATCACTCCTGTTCTTAAATCCGTACACTGGCTACCATTTATCTACAGAAAAAGGTGCTTCTGCTAGTTTATAAATACAGCTGATGTCCTTGAAGAACATAAACCCAGCAGGGCTCTGACATTCTTAGGAAGCAGGCAGCCAGTAGAACCTCGGATGAAAACCAAACAGGGTGAAGCTGCTTTTCGCTGCACACAGGTGGAACCAACTTCCCAAGGACCTTAAATGTGTTCCAACTCTGCCGTTTTCCTGTGCTTTCTATGCTGCACTTTCTGCACTGTAACTTCTAGATTTCTGTTTCAGACCTTTTATTTTGTCTTTGTCCTTTTTCCATTTTATCACATTTTCACAATGTTTTATCTTCACTGTGTCTTAAATTATTTTATTCTGGTTTTATTGCTTATTGTTTTTAATGCTGTTACTGTTGTTCCTTGTCTCTGTAATGCACTTTGCATTGCCTCTGTGTATGAAATGTGCTATATAAATAAAATTGTCTTGCCTTAAAAATGAATTATCAAAGCATTTTATAGACTTCTTAATGGCTTGTTAAAAATTTGAGGTGTGACATTGAAACTGAATCTTTGAACTCAGTGTTTATAAAATCTTTAATACAGAACATAATTTAACTTAGTGTCAAAAACTCTGCAAGGATATGATACTAAATATTGTCTGGGTGACTGCTTGGCCACTACCATGATGTGAACAACACAGAAAATTTCAGTTGACACATTTATATTGTCTCATGGTTTATACTGTAAACTTTGAAAACACTATAGATGATGTACACTGTTTATACAATATGCACAACACATTTTGGTTTACTCCTAGCACTTACACTAGGAGCATGTGCAACAGGGACATGGTATCTCCCTGTTATGCAGAGTCAAGTAGAGACTATTATTAAAAGTGTAAACACTGTCTAAACATTGTGCAAAGACAGTGTTGGTGGACCAACTAAAAATGCCATTGGGCTCAAGGGGTGATTCATTTCTTGTCTTCTATCAGGTGGGACATACTGCAGAGATACAGTACAACACGTGTTGCAACCCCTTCATTCACTCAAATATAAAAAAAAATTCTATTCTGTTGTCATCCTGCCCTCCAGCCATCTGGACCAGGCGATACAATCTCATACTGATACACACATGCACACAAAAGTTCAGCATTTCACCCAAATACGCACAAACACACAGATGCACAATCACCAGTAACCACAGCGACAAATCAACCCAGACAAAAAGTCGATAAGTAAATATGCATAAGAATTCTACAATGACAAACCAGCTCTCGTGCATGTAGACCGGTGGGAAAAACGTACACACACACAATCACAGAGCCTCAGGTGTTCACTGATCATGCATGCGAGCTGAAGGGTCAGGTTGTTAAAACAGCACACATCTATACATTTCATGCATGCACAGTGGTGAAAAAACAGATCCCCCTACATATATGATACAATGCAACAACTGTTACTGTTCATGTGTTGATACTATGTCGTGTGGCTGCAAATACCCCAGCACCATACACACTACAGTCTAAAGACGAGCACAGAGTTCGTTCAAAACCTCCGACGCTGTTAACAGAGCTCAGTTTGTCAATTTGACTGAGATTCACAGGAAACATGCAGATTTTTCAGATCAGTTTCAGCAAACTGGATTTTCAACTTTTCCTATTGATTCATTTTCAGCAGATTTTAGAATTTTTAAATTCAATATAATGATTGTCACAACTTTTTTTTAAAAATGCCAAAATAAACCCACAGTTTAAAAACAATGACATCATTATAGTATTTTTATATTCTATTCTATGCCAGTATTTGTTTCAGGCCTATTGGATTCGACTGCATCAGACTATGAGGTGTCCTTGTTATTTTGCCCACCCCCCTCTAATGTTTATAGATGTACAGGATGAGATGCCACAGGGACAGTCTGGTCTGTCGTTAGAAATTAACAGTGATTGCTGACCATGGCCCACGGTGTCAAGCACTGCTACACAGAGAAATCAGAGCTGACACCAGGAAACAACGTGGACATGTTGTCACAGTATATCACCTCTACAGTGACTATCCTGCACAGAGTGGGGCTGAAACATTTTGGTCTTCATGCTCCTCGCTAAAAGTTGAAACAGCTGCAGTGCATGCACTTGTTCTGATTTTTCTAACTTTGTAGTAATGTTTTAGGTCAGCAAAATGCCATCACCCCACTTCAAATTTCAAAAAGGGGGGCAAACTCTCTGATGCAAATGTTTCTATGAGACTCTGCCAATTTATATACCAGGCACACACATGTATCATATCAATGAGCCACCTTCTCCCCCACTGTTCTTCACCCACTTCTCTCAAAACTGACACAGAGGTGAGGAGAGGCTTTAAGTGGGGTAGGGGTTCACATTGTGCTTGTAATCCCATCCTAGGAAGTGAGTGTTGTTTATCTCTAAGGCCACCTGCACTAGCCAGTAATACACCACAGTTACATTTTCAGCCATGGAGTCTAGCTGTGTTTTGATGTGGGCGCTTCTCTGTTGCTGTGCTGCTCTGCTCCTCCTCCGAGGTCACTATCACAGCTGTTCTCACAACAGCTGCTCAGCACATCAAGAGCAGCACCAGGTTCACCAACTGCCATAGCCTGACAGGACTCTTCTGTGGAGGCTAAAATCTTTGCACACACACTGAGCAGTCACTGGAACTCGCACTTCTTTATTTAATATGAGTAGAAACATGTTTAATATTCAGGAAGCATGGCAGTGCCTGCAAATGTCACACCAAAATAAATGGATTTCATGTATTTAGAGTATTGCCTCTATATTTACCTACTGATTCATTATAATCAGATGCAGTTTTTTAAAGAAACGTGAGTACAAAACATGAAAATTCTGCAGCATTTCATGCAGTCATAAAGCTAAATTATATTACACTTATGTAAATGAGACTGGTAAGATGTGAAGATAGAGCAGCACTTTCACATTGTCAGCAGAAGCATTTAACAAAAAATGTTTCTTGTCTTATGACATCCAGTGTTCCCTCTATCTGCAGTCACATGTGTTACTGGACCATGTGAGTGAAAATGCTTGTGTCATGCACTGACAACTCACCCTGCAGGTTTATCCACCCTCAGAAAGGCCTGGATGACCAGAGGAAACTCATACTTGACTATGTACAGGTAACTGGACATGGCTGTTGAGGAGGGATATATGCAAACTGTGTTAGACCTAACACACACAGAGGCTAATGTATAGCATAAACATGAAGGCACCCTCGCACACAGTATTCAGTACCCAGAGACAGAGAACATACTAATGTCAAGCAATAAATCAGTGAATACTGAATCTGGGTATTATCCCAGAAACATCACAGGAAAATTCAAAAAATATTTCCATGTGTAAGTGTGAGGACAGATGACAGTGTGTGACCTCACCTCCAATGTTCTGCAGTGTGATGGCAATACCTGCTGCCATCTTCCCCGGGGTCCCAAAGGCCCGGTAGCCAAGCTGCTCATATGCACGGATACCTGAGCCACAAATACCAGATAAAAGCTTATTATCAGTGCATTGAATCCATACCAGGACTGTAAAGAGATAAAGAGACCTAAGTCTAATTAGGATTTCACATGACAACTTGTTGTGTACGAGGTCACTGACCAGTGGGGGGAATCACATGCTGTGATCATATCATCAGACACTGGAGGGTGTTTCAGAGGTTGTGAAGCTACATACCTACAATACCAGATGACTTTAGCAGCAAATGGATGGAATATGATGAGAGGACTGCCACCACTGTTAGGAGTATCCTGAAACAGGCAGACATCAACAACCACATACATTACATCTACCTCTTTCAACAACATGAACACAATGTAATAACCATTTTTGTGCTCAATGTTTTCAACAACATGACAATGGGAAATCATACTGTTATGTTACTTTTTTGCATTAACCTGTAGGCTATTTATACAGCTGCAGGGTAAGCACACATTTCCCTGGATGCCAGGACATGGGTTGTGTTGGAAGAGCAGAGTTCCTGTGGCTCCCCTTTACACTGGATTGTTACCCTGGCTGAGCCCGAGGCGGCTGCTCTATCAGCCCCTTTGCCCTCTGCCACAGTAAACAAGCAGATGCACCAGATGGACTGTTTAAAAAAAAAAAGCTTTTGCAACGTGATGCTGAGATTGAGAGAGAATGAGGAAAATCCTTCATAGGCAATAATCTTCCCTTTTGTTCCTCAGCGGTGGAAAAACCCACTTCAGTCACAACAGTCATTCTCTCCATTCTCAATAATAGATTCAAGAAGTACAGTGCTTGTAATCAGCATCTCTCCACTGACATGTTCAGTTTCTGTTCATGGATTTTTCTACAGTGACTAGTTTCTATTTAATCACTGGATTCTTGTGTTTGGTTCATAAAGTAATTGCAATGCACTCCAAAATCTTTTATGCACAGTATATGGGACTTTTAGTATTTCAGTCATAGTGTTTTAAGAAATGCTTTGATATGTTACTGCTGAAAACTGTCATGCACTGAAACCTGGCATCAGATGTCTTATTCACCAATCAGATAGCTCCTGATTTACATCACAGCTTCTTGTACAGCTTCTTAAGCTTAGCCAATATTTAACATTTTAGAATTTTAGCTCCTTTAACCAAAGGAAAGTTTTTGAGAGAAACACGTGTGTATTTCTCAATGTGATGTATCAAAATAAATCACCTCTCTTCAAGACATTAATTATGTAATTTACATATTTCAGCTTTAATTAGAAGATAAACCCCTTGAGATGCATCATCTTGTTTTCCCTTAATACACAAAAACATTTTTAAAATCTCTGATTTTTTTTAAGTTAACAGTGGGATTATTGCTGGCTTATTGGGTAAGAAGGTGCACATAATCTTTAACTAGGATTTTTTTTTACCTTTATCTGAGATGTCTGACAAACATCACAATTTTAAAAACGTTTTTAGATTTTCACCCTGGTATAAATCCTCAGCATAAGGAAGTTTTATGAATAGACCCCTGATCTACTGGCTTTCTCTGACCCACTCCACCTCATTCTAATAGTTTTCTCTCCCTTTTCTTGTTACTGTTGGCGGTGTTAACGTTCTCTGTCTCACACACACACACACACACTCTCCCTTCTCCTCCTGGAAAGGCCAGCCAGCATGTCTTTCACCTTGACTTCAACTCTTGGCCAGTTAACATGGGTTTCTTTTGTTTTTGTTTGCTGGAGTGACTCGTGGTGGAGGATTTGCTAGAGAGGCAGTGGGAGGACAGATCTGCTGACAGTCAGACGGACTGACACACTTGGGTCACTATAGCTGCGCTCACAGCCTTCCACCCAACTGCATTCCGGACCCACTGACCCACTGAAGCCTATGCACCCACCAACAAAGTTCTGTGTGATATGAAACACTGGGCCAAAAAAGTGGAAAAGAAGCTAAGGACATTCCCAAATATGTATTAGATATAATATATTATCTAGTATATTCAATAACCTTAAGTGCATGGCTCCCGCTGCGATCTAAACCTGCCCTTATCTCACCTACATGTCCTCACTACAGTCTGAACACTTCAAGTACTGCAACTTCAAATAGGATTGGATACAAGATGTACTTGGCCATATACACCATAAACATGCCTGTTGTTCAGCTAACCAGTAACAATAAGCTAAACTCAACCCTCTTGACTTTTTTCTCTTGAGAATTCATAGTTTTAGTTATTTGATGCATTTTGTCTCAGATCAGTGTGCACGCTAAAGTGGATAAATGAAAGGCTTGATCATCCTTCTAGGTTCATTGTACAGTACATTTGCTGTAGGTGACCCAGACGGCAGAAAGAATAACACCTATGTAATGAAAATACTGTGCAACAGGCCTCTTTTTCTTGTTCTTGGCATGAATGGTGCCTGTGTTTGCCTCATTTTTAGGTCTTCTTTCCTCTTTAGCAGCAGGAGACAGTATACTGAGAAAAATAAATAAAAAATCAGCAGCCTGGGGTCCAATGTGGAACACACCCAAAAAACTTGGTCAGTATTCCTTTGCCAAAAATGTCAGACATCCTGCCTGTATTTGTCAGTAGCTACTCTATTGTTTGATACAAGATCATGCAGATATGCATACAAAGACACAGCCTTTCATCTAAAACAGGATTGATAAATACACACTACAGGTTGCACTTGGTCACATCTTTTTAAGTTGCCTGTGATTACATGTTTTTTGAGTGGAATGTGGACTAATCGACTGCGGAGTTCACAAGCCACAAGAGTCAAAGATACTGGTGTTTGGTAACGCACGATTCAGCCAGTGCAGACAACAGGCAGCTTGAAAAAAACACAGTCACACTACTGAGCTTAAATAAGAAGCTTTCTTTAACATGAGGGAAAAGCTCTGTACTTTAATCTTTCACAAAAAAATGAGCTCAACCAGCTTCAGCGCCAGTCACCTTACAACCTAGCTCCATCAGTAAGAGGTGTCAGAACTGAACGATGAAGTCGAGGGGGTCAAAGCCTCTAAGCCTCTCCCTGACTGCTCTGGTACTCCCCACTGTCATCGTTCCACTTTTGCAAGAAAGGTTTAAAAACTCTCTGCAGCTAAAGGTCAAAAGACTTCCAATGCATCTAAATCAGAAATATAGAAAATGGAGGGATATATAATCAGGCTGCAGTCGATTGTGATGTCATTATCTTGACAGACAACGCAGTGGAGGCTTTTAAATGTTAAGCCCCTATTAGAGACAATAAACACCCAGTGGTTAAAGGCAGAATCACACGTGCTTCTGTGTGGCTGACCTGCATCTGTGATTGCAATGGCACTAATTTATAGTAAATGATTTCCAGTATGCTATTAATCCGAGCTTTTATTTATCAAACAAATGCGCCCTGTGTCATTGATTTCTGTATAATTATAAACAGGGTCTGCCTGGCTAATACAAGACAACCAGAATACAATTAGGTGCTATTTGTGATGCAGATCTCCACGGTATCGACCTTAGCAGGAAGAGAACAAGTCAGACACCATCTGTGAGCTGTAATTCTGCTCTAATGCTTCCAATCCAATATACAGTATATAACTCACAAGAACAAGACGACCCCTGTGTTGGCCATGGCATATGCCAGTCCCAGGATTCCACTTCCCATGATTGCATTGCCCAGGTTGAAGACTGACATCCCAAAAGATGTCTTTCCTTCAAACTACAACAGATCCAAGACAGAGGGGAGGAATAAACATTGCATATAGTGATGATACTACAGAGAAACATCTGTTGTTTGTGCTTGAACTCACATCTGTGAAGCGCGTCATCTTTTTGTCCTCCACGGCTGATAAGAACTCCTGGCTCTCTGGGGGGTTGGCTTCTGTATTCTCCGTTTTCTGAGGACTAATGAGAAGAAGCATTGCCATAAAAACATAAACAGAAAACAACAACAAAACAGTCAAGTTTCATCAAAACAATGCCATTTCTTTCTTAGAGAACACGGTCCAGTCAAGAAGATGTCACTTACAGTATCTGTGTCAATTTCCACAAAAAAAAGATAAATAAAATAAAATAAACTGAAACTGAAAGCACACAATGCATTTGTTATTATTGTAACATACATACCAAGAATTCTGGTCATTAATGGGGACAGTTTCCCTGCACGCAGTGTAGAGAGAGGTCATCCATCATGCAATGAGAGCACAAATGGAAAAACAACACCCTCAGTCATATAATAAGGCAAATAATACAGTGAAGGGATCATATATAAATTACTAACTTATCTTGGAAGAGACATTTTAGAATAATGGCACAAAAAAGCATATTGTGACATAATAAATAGTCACTGCACTTGCTCCATTATCCAGCAAAAATTACATTACAATGTCTGAGCAGGTAGATGTTTTGTAAGAGGCACTCCACAGGGCAGTGAATGAACATTAAATATTTGCTGTCATAGGGACTGTGCCTGCAACCCTGCGGTTACAGGACAGTCATTCTGGTGACAAGACCAAGGCCCGGGTAGCAGGGTGGCACAATGGATCTCACCACAACCCACACAACTAGCTGCTCCAGTACAGTCATGTTGTATCTCTCCCTAATGTACTGCAATCATCAAGGCCTTTTATCCAGATAACTTTTTACTAATCCCTCTAGCTGATGTATATGGAGTCCCAGTCAAATATAATGCATCGTATCTTGCCTCGTTAACTGCGGATCAAGTAAACTACACATGACACTAATTTCATATGACAGTCTGTTAACATAGAGTACACCGCCTCTAATGTGACGTGATGCACAAGAGAACACATGTGAGACCTTATTAAGTGGCAGGTTAATATGATGAAGTGAAAGCACTCAGTGAATCAAACCACCTTGTTCACATAATGGCAACCGGCCAATAATAGAGGATGGGGCATTCAAATGAAAGAGATTCTGATCACTGACTAATCTCTTGCCTGCTATTCTCAGTATTAACAAATGGAGGTCATGATTCTTCATTTTGTGGAGTGGCAATTAGTCCAAAAGGACCACTGCCTTGCTACTAATTAATATGGTCACAATGGCTGCACAAATATTTTTATCTTTATCTGATGTTTTGAGACCCAAGACTCGAGATTTCTGCCAAGATGCTGTAACTATAGAGAAATTAAAGCTAGTGAAAACTATTTTGCTTAAAATAAACATACTAATGTAAAGAGGACTGTGCTTTGAAAATAAGTGTTAATGTTTTTTGAAAATACAGAAGCTTCTAACATCTGGAATTCACACATGCAAGTCAAAACTTGTAGTTTCTGACCATGTTTAGATTCTGTAAGGGCAACGTGAAAATTATTCTATTGCTGTTTAAATGTGTGACCAAGCAGCAATAAGCAGTGCTGATATCACGTTTTTCAGCAAAAATTAAATGATGATGTAACTATCAGGTAACATATAAAATGATAACTGATTCTTCTAATTCTTGCTGGATCAAACAATGCATTTAAGAAGTACTGTCAACAGATCGATGTACATTGTGTTAGGTAGGAGCATACTCACTTTTCACCGTCGTCTGCAGGCGGTGTTTTGACCGATGCCATGATCTCCTCCCCAGGCTCATGGCCTTTCCCGTTAGGAATAGCGTTCGCCTCAGCAGAGGCAGTTTCCACAGTCTCAGCTGGTTTGTCTTCACTCATATCGGCTCTGGTGCCTTGGTGTGTACGAAATAATCTATCTGTTCAAATGTGTAAATGTAACAGGCTGTATGAATGCCTGGAAAGTGCTATGAGGCCTCCTGGAATCTGTGGAAGAAAAAAATATGTGCAATTAGCAGAATATTCAGTAATAAAACAGGCAGCTCATTGGTGCAGGTACAAGACAGGAACAACCAAAGAACAACCAAATGCAACTAAGGTCCATGGAAAGCACACTGTGCTCATGTGATAAAGTATTCATATCGACTACTCAGCTACCAGAGCGCCGGAACAATGCACATTTTAAATGATTAAAATCATTTCTTAAAAATTTGTAAATGATAAAGTACTAGTGTAGTGTCAACATGTTCAAAGTAGACATTTTGGAAGTGACGCTTTATTCTGAGGGGCTCAGAATATTCATAATTAAAACATCAGACTTTGATTCTAGCCATTGAGAGCCAGCTGACGACTGTCACATGCAAACTGCTCTCTGGACAGTAAGTTTCAATTAACTCAAACAAGTCCAAGACATTTGGTTCCCTCTTATCTGAACAGTCTCCAAGGTAACGAAACATAGGAATGCAAAGTGAACCTCCCTTATCTTCACACGAGAATGTGAACAGTGTTATAAACTGACTTAGCACACACTCTCTTTGAATAAAGTCTTGGAAATGGAAACTTTATTAACCAACAGTTGTGTGAAATGTCTATAAGAAAGGTTGAAATGTTTGAGTCAAGCTGATGATGGACATACATAACTAGTCACTGCAAAGACTTCTTCCTTAGTAGAAATGATTCCAAACCTGAAGTTACATTAATGTGAACCTAACTGTATGAATGGAAGTGATAAATGCTTATTATTTCAGATGCTTGACAAATCAACTATCAGAGACTTTGTTAATCCCGACATCCTAACTCTGCAATACTGCTCAAAGGGTTTGATAAGAAACTGTTCTTTTGATTTCTTTATTTTATTGCTTTTGTCTTTTATTCTCAAACTTAACCATTCCTTTCCTTCCACAAAATAATCCACACGTTTCATGTCAAACTATGTGTTGCTTAAAATTGTGTGTAGATGTATACCACATTCGTTTTTTAAAGTATACAGCCATGGTGGAAGAGTTCCCTCATTAGGTTAGCATGACGAATTGGGCGTCCACTGCTGACTCCTGAGCCAATCAGACGAAGACTCTGCTCAGGCTGGCACACGCCTATGTTAGTTAATACCGCTCTAAGCACACTCGGGCCAACTGATGTCTCATGAGAACCATAGTTATTAGCTATTAGTCACAATTAAAGTCTACAACCTATAGCAATCAATAGTTATTTTCCCTCTCTGTAGTCGTGATTAGACCATAGAATTTAGCTCTAGAATTGAACTGGATCTTAGACGAGAATAACAATCTTCCACCATCTCCAACAACAGGCTGGTCATTCATTCATCAGAGCATTCACAAATGTACCATTTGCATTACATCATTTTCCCTGTGTAATTATTGTAAATACATTTGTTTGGCCTCTAATTGGCTTCATTATGTCATCTTTGAGTCTCTTTTGTTTCCAGTAAATAGGTTCAATCAAAACTGGCAAATCATCACAAATACACCTCTTTTTATATCATCAAATAACTTATTAAAAACAACCTTACCAGAAAAAAAGACAATTGTACACACATCAGCATGACTATATGTACAAAATACAACAGGAAGCGCCTCTGGGAGAAATGTATCTGATTTGTACTTTGAGTTTTTAGCTTGGTTCATATCCCATCTGCTAACGTAGATGATGCAGGATTTATGACCTACACTCACAGTGGCTTCACTTCTGTCAATCGTCATGGCGTTCATATTTTATACAGTCGATGATCACACCTGACTGTGTAAATATGTAACATTTTTTATTATTGTGGTCACAGAACAATGAGCATTTTCTTGCAAGTCAGTTTATGGGGATCTGTATACAAATTATGACAGTCCAACGAAAATCCTGAATCTACAGTTTTGGAGATTTGATTCTTTTTTTTAGATCAACAGAAGGACTTAGGTATTCTTTTATTGGCTGAGAAGATGGTCCTACTTCTTACTGTTGGTTAAATAAACATTGCAAGAACATGGATTATTTGAAAAATGCAATGTCACAAAGTGGAAAACAGGACTGTTCTGCTTACACTGTTTTCTTTGGACAGCAACAATATGTATATTTTGCTTAATTCTGGAAACTATATTTACTTTTGTTAAATAATATTAGTAAGTCCAACTCAATCAGAAATTGACAGAACATTTCAATGGCCCTAGAAAAGCATTCCTTACTGGTTTCCAACAATAAGAGACACGTGGTGAGATAACGCAGGCCACCGTGAGTGCATTTGAACGAGTCTGTGTCTACCTATAGGTCTAACGGGGATGTGACTGAACTCCAAATCACTTTCTTTGAATCCCGATAGAAAGGCCGACAACAGAAAGGACTAGACGCAACAACACAAAACTCCTTGCACATATACTGAGTTATTATTGACAAATGCAGATTATGGCCAAGCTGTTGATATTACAAAATTTCAGATTAAAATCTGGGTCACTCCTTTGTGACATAAGAGTTCTGAGAGGATGACCACAACCAGCTCACACATTTTCACTTGTAACCTAAAGCAAAAACCCCCATTATGTTAGTCAAGAAATAGAGCTGATCATGAATAGATGTTTTGCTCGATCCCTTGAATAATTGACACATCAACTGACAGGTCTACGCGCAGAGGAAATAGTACTTCCAGTTCACTGTGACACACAGGCATCTATTTCCTGGGTATCCTGTTGTGGCATCTTAGCCGACCAGCTGGCTTGTTGGGCCCAGAAAGGCCCCCTGTGACATGTATCTCCTGGATGCTGTTGACCAAAGCCCCCTATCTGGCTGGCCCTGAATGATCTCCTTTGCTCTGCTGCATAAACAGCAGTGAAAGCTATAATGAAGAGCACACAGGGAGCCATAGAAGGGAACACACACAAATGGTTGAACCACCAGCATTGAGATAAAATGCGAGGAACCAGCTAGTACCAGCCACAAATCCATTCTCGCTGTCACTGTGCCTCATTTTTTCTGCTTGCCACTTTTCTCTTGGTTTCCTCTTTTATTGAAGAAGGTTCAACAAAGCTCAGGATTTTCTGTACTAACATTAGTGGCAGACTCTGAGTCTCCTCCGTCCTGTGGCACTCCAGAGCCTGCCCTTTGAAATGTACCTTTTTGTAAAATTATTTCAACACATCAAATGTAGTAAGAGGTGAATAAACCCTGGTCTCCATCTAGCAGTGCCCAGAACCTGTTGTACCGACCACACTGCTGTGAGCTTCACCGCACAGCCAGGCCTCTCGGTGTGTCTGGTTAAAGCCAGGCAACGTGGTTGAGCAGCAAAGCACACTGCACAATGGCACATGTTGTGCAGTTTCCTGGGAACGGGTTGAAGAACAGTGGAACTATTGTGCCAGGCATCATTATACTGTCAGGGCCCCCTTGGCTGTAGTTTGCCAGGCCACTCGAGAGGCTGAAAAGGTATTTCACTGAGCTCTAATTGAAAAGATGCCACCTTGAATTCAGCAAATGCCAGTATCCTGTATTCATGCACAGTTGTAGCAGAGTTGCTGATGATAGCAATGGTAGAGGCAGGACCCTTCTCGTGGGACAAATCGTGGCAGAGCCGCACTGCCATTCAGATAGTGTACAAACCACAAGGAGGTTGAGGCAAGCCATTCCAGGACAACACATGTACATGATGGACTTTCCAGCTACAAGGACATCTCTTCATTGACCTTGAAAGAGTAGATGTGATTGGACAGATGTGGCCCCTTATGTTCACTAACAAAGGTAATAGATGACATTGTTGACAATAGTTGAGTAAAACACACCAACTGAAGGAAAGGAAACACCAGCACAAAACAACTGGGCTCAGCCCTGCTTGCTTAAACCCCAGTTACCACAGCATCATGGTGGCATGAAACAGAGACAGGGCTGTGTGTCTATTCCAAAACATTCAAGCAAAACCCATAAATGAAATGTTCTGTATTCTGTAGACACTATGTCATCCAAAAACACATGTGCTACTGTCTGCAGGAGCAGTTCCAGTTTACCCTGATTTCAAAACAACTTGTTTCTGGCACAATTAGCTCCCAAAAACATATGAATAAAGAGGATTTGTTTGGTGTGTTTATTTTCCTAAATGCACCTTTACAGCACACAGACAGGTTGATGGTTATTATTGCAATGGAATCTAAAGGTCTCTGAATATTTTCTTGATTAACTGTTTTGACAATAAAATGTCAGAAAATAGTGAAAGATGCCTGTTGTACAACAAACAAATGCATCACATTTAAGCAGTGTTACAAAGATTTCTAAAAAAAAAAACTGACTGGAAATTGAAATTCAAATAAACAACAGAAGTGTCTAAAGAAACACAGGAATCCACTGCTTCTCTGCTGATATCCAAACTTCCAAATCCTATGCAAGAGTCAATGCCACATTGTGATGCTCTTGGTGGGAGTAAATGAGTCTTTTCACAGCAACAGCAGAGGCTATGTTTATTCAAGCTCTCATCCAAAGCATCACCTCAGTTTGCCAACACTCAATGAGTGCATGCGCCTCAGTACACCGGCTATGACGTAAGCAGCTCTGCTAGGAGACGTCATGCCGCAAGGAGGCAAACAGAGCCAGGCTGTTTCACTGACTGTTACCCATAGGCTGGTACCTGAACCAAACTACACTGTGCATGCTGATTAATCCTCACTCGTTGCAAAGCATGTATTTGGTTTTGAGTTCCATTCGGTAAATAATTTAATGTGTTGATTTGTGTGTGTGTATCTGTGTAGTTTATGCAGTGAATAATCAAGCTGTAATACTACTTGACTACATTCTCATAGGCCTCTGGCCATATATACTTTCTTAACTGAGTCTCTAGTGTAATTTTCAGACTCTTAATCTGCTGAAGTGCATGTAGAAAATCATTACATGTTTGTCCCACTTTTTTCTTACACCCAGGTCCATGGACGCAGTAAAAGTAAAGTAAAATATTCTAAATGTCATCCAAAAGCCATCACCTTCTTCTTCCTCTACAGCATTATCAC